GTGTAATCTCCATTAGGGCAGGGATTTCCTGATTCCAAAACCTAGAACAATGCCTGTCACAGTGTTAGTAAAAATTTGTTGAATGATCTGTTTTAAAGAAAAAGGTGGATTGATTAAATTGTGTAATGGTGATTAAATTGTGTAATATACATTTTATAGAATATTATATAATCTTCATTAATCATGTTTTCTAGGCCTAACTACATACCAAGTTACTTGATTGAAAACACAAGCAAATGTAGAAAAGAGGAGAATTTTTACATATTCTCCTAAAAGAAACTTGGTAGTGCAACTTGCTTTATAATCAGCGATTTAAAAAAAAATTTGTTTACAAAATGATACAGCAGAAGAAATGCTCATTTTGTGACATTAAGAGGAAAGAGCAGTAAGCAGAATATCTGTTATAAAAGAAAGAAAGAAAACACGAGAAGAAGTACATCAAAATATTTGAATAATCTCAGCACTTTGGGAGGCCCAGCCAGGCAAATCACTTGAGGTCAGGATTTTGAGACTAGTCTGGCCAACATGGTGAGACCTTGTCTTTACTAAAATACAAACATTAGCAGGGCATGGTGGTGCACGCCTGTAATCCCAGCTACCCAGAAGACTGAGGTAGGAGAATTGCTTGAACCTGGGAGGTGGAGGTTGTAGTGAGCTGAGATCGCACCACTGCACTCCAGCCTGGTACACAGAGGGAGACTCCGTTCCTCTCCCCTCCAAAAAAAAATTAATAGTAATTATTGGAGGTTGGAATGTTAATCATTTTTATTTCTACTTCTTTATATTTTCTGCAATTAATTTTTTTTACAATAATGTAGCACTTTTATAATTTTGGGAAAATTAAATCACTTTAAAAGATAGTATTAAGGCTTTTCCTTCCCCTAATTCTTCCTGTTTAGAACTACCAGGCATGTTAAATGCAAGCATAAGTGAGATCCTAAAAAGAAGATGCTTCAGGCTTCATTCTGCTTAGCTACACAAAGATAATTTGCCTGTAACAGTCATGGCGCAAGCATGTGCAGGCAAGGGGCCAGACGTGTTAAGTATATTATTAAACTCTTTGGCATTTCTAAAGAGCATAAGATCATTCTTTGTTTTCCCCACAGTCTCTGCTGTTTTGATAGCCCAAAGCTACCCAATGGAAATTCTGGAGTATTGCCCTTTAGTCACTTCTAAAGGGGCAAAAAGACTGGAGGCTGGCTGTGGAGGTTCTGAGGCCCTGAGATGCTCAGCTAGAAAGTCCAGTCAGTCATCAGCAAACAGCCTTCCTCCAGCAAACATCTTGGGGAGGGCAGTAGGTGGGTGGCCAGTGTACTCCATGGGGTAAGCTCTCTTTCTGTTTCTCGGCTTCCCTTTTTCTGCATTTGGACACCACTGGAGAACATGTTGTAACTATGTATATCAACTCTAAGGAAATTCAGGAGCTTTAGTTTTTACTGGCTCTTAATATTGTTTGTACCTGTTTGCGTTGTAGTCAGAGCCAGCCTTCTTAAACTGGCTGAATTATGTGTGCATGGAAACGTATAATGGCTCCTACTGCATTCTAGCTTTGCTCCTCAAAGTGTGATCATTGGAGCAACAGCATTGGCTTCACATTGGAACTTGCTCAAAATGTAGAATCTCACACCAGACCTACAGAATCAAAATCTGCATTTTCATAGATTCAAATGCACATTAAAGTTTGAGAAGCACAGGTCTATAGAATAAAGTCTAAGCTCTTTAGCATGGCTATTGAGGCACTTTGTGATCTGGCTTCAAATTACTTCTTAAGGCTGGGCACAGTGGCTCACACCTGTAATTCCAGCACTTTGGGAGGCTGAGGTGGGTGGATCACCTGAGTCCAGGAGTCTGAGAACAGCCTGGCCAATATGGGGAAACCTTGTCTCTACCAAAAATACAAAAAGTAGCCAGGTGTGGTGGCACATGTCTGTAGTCCCAACTACTCAGGAGGCTGAAGCAGGAGAATCACTTGAATCCAGGAGGTGGACGTTGTAGTGAGCCGAGATCATGCCACTGCACTCCAGCCTGGGTGACAGAGTGAGACTCCATCTCAAAAAAAAAAGAAAGTGAATTAATGAGCTGTTAGTGGGTTATACTATTTGTGGTTTATCTGAAACATACTTGTATGTTTCAGTACCTTTTGCCACTTTCATCCATTCAGTATGATGTTGGCTGTGTGTTTATTATTTTGAGGTATGTTCCTTCAGTGCCTAGATTGTTGAGAATTTTTAACATAAAGGGATGTTAAATTTTATCAAAAGCCTTTTCTGCATATATTGAGACAGTTATGTGGTTTTTCTTTTAGTTCTGTTTATATGGTGAATCACATTTATTGATTTGTTTATGTTAAACTAAACTTGCATCCCAGGGATGAGGCCTACTTGATCATGGTGGATTAATTTTTTGATGTGCTGCTGGATTTGACTTGCTAGAGCCCAGAAATAAAGCTGCATACCTTCAATTATCTGATATTTGACAATGCTGACAAAAACAAGCATTGAGGAAAGGACTCCCTATTCCATAAATGGTGCTAACCATAGGCATAAGATTGAAGCTGAACTTCTTCCTTACACCATACACAAAATAAACTCAAAACGAATTATAGACTTAAATGTAAGATGTAAAACTATAAAAACCTTGGAAGATAACCTAGGAAATACCATTCTGGACCTAGGCCCTGGCAAAGATTTCATGATGAAAATGCCAAAAGCAATTGCAACAAAAACAAATATTGACAAATTGGACCTAATTAGACTAAAGAGCTTCTTCACGGTAAAAGAAACTTTCATCAGAGTAAACAGACAACAGAATGAGAGAAAATATTTGCAAACTATGCATCCAACAGAGGTCTAATATCCAGAATATATAAGAAACTTAAACAAATTAACAAGCAAAAACCAAACAACTCCATTAAAAAATGGGCAAAGGACTATGAATAGCCATTTCTCAGGAAAAGACATACAGGCAGCCAAGAAGCATATGAAAAAATACTCAACATCACTAATCATCAGAGAAATGGAAATCAAAACCAAAATGTGATACCATATCACACCAGTTAGAATGTCTATTATTAAACAGTCAAAAGAAAATAACAGAAGCTGGCAAGGCTGTGGAGAAAAAGGGAACGCTTATACACTGCTTGTGGGAATGTAAATTAGTTCAGCCCCTGTGGAAAGCAGTTTGACAATTTCTCAAAGAACCTAAAACAAAACTGACCCAGCAATCCCATTATTGGGTATATACCCAAAGGAATATAAATTGTTCTACCATAAAGACACCCAGACATATGTGCAATTGCAGCACTATTCCCAATAGCAAAGTCATGGGATCAATCTGAATGCCCATCAACAGTAGACTGGATAAAGAAAATATGGCACATATACATGATGGAATACTATGCAGCCATAAAAAGAATGAGATAATGTTCTTTTCAGTAACATAGATGGAGCTGGAGAACATACTCTTAAACTATCACAGGAACAGAAAACTAAATACCACATGCTCTTGCTTATTAGTGGGAGCAAAACATTGAGTACACATGGACACAAAGAAGGGGACAACAGACACTGGGGTCTACTTGAGGGTGGAAGGTGGGTGGAGAGAGGATTGAAAAACTGTCTACTGGGTACTATGCTTATTACATCAGTGATGAAATAATATGTACACCAAACTCCTGTAACACATAATTAATCTACATAACAAACCTGCACATGTACCTCTGAACCCAAAATAAAAGTTAAAAAAGAATGTCCATATGGCATTACTCATAACAGCCAAAAAGTAGAAACAGCTCAAATGTTCATCAATTGATAAATGGATATATAAAATGTGATATGTTTATAAAATGGAATATTATTTGGCAATTAAAGGTAGTATTGATACAGGCTACATTCTGAATAAATATTGAAAATATGCTGAGTGAAAGAAGCTAGTCACAAAGGACCACATATTATATTATTGTATTTATATTAAGTGCCCAAATAGGCAAATGTTTCGGGAGACATAAAATAGATTGGTGGTTGCTTAGGGCTTGGAGTTTGGAAGGAAATTGGGAGTGACTGCTAATGAGTATAAGGTTTCTTTCTGGGTTGATGACAATTTTCTAAAATTGGTGTTGGTGGTAGTTGTACAACTGTGTGAATATACTAAAAATCATTGAGCTTACATTTTAATTCAATGAGTTGGATGGTATATGAATTATGTCCTTATAAATCTGTTGCTTTAGTTTTGCTGCTTCTTTAAATTCTACTAAAATGTCAGTAAATTGATTTTTCTTGTAAAAAGACATAAACTAACCCAACATCAACATTTTAGAACTTAGGAAATAGATGGATAAGGTCCCCAAAACATTAACTTTAAATTGACTTTAGGAAACACTAAGAAGCAGCATGATTTTTGATGCTGAATCCCCAAAAGTCTCTGGAATAGAGAGTAGGTTGCTCACCCCCGCCTCTAAAACAGGATTGGTTGAAGATCTAGAGACTGAGAGATCCATTCTTCCTTATCTGCATAGCTGGGCAAATGCTCATTCTGCTTGCAGAAGAAGATAGGAGGTTTATTCTCTGGAGAGGGAGAACAGAGGAGGCTGAGGGATATCAAACACAGTTGAGGTCAGGGGTACCATACTAAAAACAGGGAGATAAGTGAAATTGGGCATTTTGAATGGTGAGACTACCCCAAGTCTGTCTTTCATTTGTTCCCAGAGCTCTTGCATCAGAAATATACCCTGCAGGCAGGGATTTGAGAGGATCTTCTCTGGGAACTCTGACCAGTCCAAGAAAAGAGATTTAAAGTCAGCATATTGCTGTTTCCTCTAAGTGGGAGCAACCCACCTACGTACCAGAACTTTTAACATAAAAACTCTTAGTGAAATAGTTTTAAAAATATACAGTGGATTATTTTAAACAGGAAGAAGTAAACAAAAGGGTATAAAAAATTTCATATAATAAGCATATAGCTTTAATCATTATCAACACATGGCCAGCTTTGGTTATCTTTACCTCTGTCTCTAAATAAACCCGATAGATTATTTAGAAGCAAATACTGGACATCTTATTACTTCACAAATTCTTCAGCATGCATCTGTAAATGATAAACATAGTAGTGTTACTGTAACTCAAATATAATTCTTTAATATTAAATATCCAGTCATTTTTCAATTTTTCAATTTCTTCCAATTATCTCATAAATGTTTTTTCTACAACTTGTTTGAATAGGCATCCAAGCAAGGTCCTCACTTTGTGTTTGGTTAATATGTCTCTTAAGTCTATGTATCAAGCCCCTTTCAGGCTCACCACCTCAGATCCTCTCAGCCACCTTTCCCCAGGCCCTTGGCCACTTGTTTCATTCCAGTTGCCTTAGTCACAGGCTTCACATAAACAAAACCCAACAGTGGTGAGGCATCACGCCCATGCCATGGGCTTCCTGCATTCCTTCTTGGGAATTCCTTTTCCATGAAGTGTGAGTTATTTTGGGACCCATGAATGTGCAACAGGGAAGTTTGTGGTTGTCAACACTCAAAGGTAAACATTTGATCAACGGGTGATGGGAGCTAGTGCATCAATTCTTCCATCTTCCTCTTCCTAAGTAGGCTGTAGCTCAAATTGTGTCTCAGAAGACAGCCCCTCAAGACTGCACACTTGGCACCAAATGTGGCAGGTCAGAAATGCACACTCTTTTATTGACCTATTTTCTCTTCTGTTTCCCCTTCCCCTCATTTCCTGGAATAAGCTTTCCCGCAGGCTGTCTTTACTAGGAGACTCACAGTAAGACAATTTTATAGACTTCCTCACCCTTTTAATTTCCTTTGTAATCTACTTGTTGAAGAAAACACATCATTTATTTATCATCTAGAGTTTCCCACATTCTGGTTTCTGCTGATTGTACACCTCTTAATAGTTTAACAAGTTTCTCTGTCCTTTGTCTTTAAACTGGTATTTGGATCTAGATACTATATAGATTCAGGGTTGATTTTCTGGCAAGAACATTACGTAAATGGTGTTTTAAATGTCCTATTGCAGCTGGGTGCAGTGGTTCACACCTGTAATCCCAGCACTTTAGGAGGCTGAAGTGGATGGATCACCTGAGGTCAGGAGTTTGAGACCAACCCAGCCAACATGGTGAAACCCTGTCTCTACTAAGAATACAAAAAAATTAGCTGGGTGTGGAGGGGGACACCTGTAATTTCAGTTACTTGGGAGGCTGAGTCAAGAGAATTGCTTGAACCTGGGAGGAAGAGGTTGCAGAGAGCTGAGGTTGTTCCATTGCACTCCAGCCCGAGTAACAAGAGCAAACCTCCATCTCAAAAAAAAACTGTCCTATTGTATCTATCGCATTATGTCAGGAGAAAAACATGTTTGATTACCTGAATATCTTTTTGTGATGTCAAGATAAATCAGTAGCTTCAGGCATTGTCAGGCTGATCTTTCTGTTAGAAAGTCTGATACTGGCTTATTTTTAAAAGCAAATTTATAAATGTTTAATTTACATACAATAAAATACATTCACTTTTTACACCTGTGTAACCACCACCACAGTTAAGATATAACATTTTTTAGATTCATCTATGTTATCGTGTGTATCAGTTGTTAAACTTTGAATTTGCTGAGCAGAATTCCATTGTATGAATATAACATGACTTATTTACCCATTCACTTGTTGATGAACATTTGTGTTGTTTCTAGTTTTTGCCTGTTGTGAATAAACTTCTATTATGTTCAAGTCCTTTTGTTCAACTGTTTTTCCTCTTGAGAAAAATACTTAGAATTTCTGGGTCACATGGTAAAAATATATCACACCATATAAGAAACAGCCAAATTATTTTGCAAAGCCATGGTATTTTTTATATCTTCGCCTCAATGCATAAGAGCTTCAGTTGCTTCTTATCAATACTTGGCATTGGCAGTCCTTTTTTTTTGAGACAGAGTCTTGCTGTGTCACACAAGCTGGAGTGCAGTGGTGCGATCTCGGCTCACTGCAACCTCCGCCTCCCAGGTTAAAGCGATTCTCCTGCCTCAGTCTCCTGAGTAGCTGGGATTACAGGCACGTGCCACTACGCCTGGCTAATTCTGGCAGTCCTTTTAATAGCATCATATTATTGGATATGCATTGATAACACACTGTGGTTTTAATTTAACTTTTTTAATCATTGCTAATATTGAGCATATTTTCATGTGTGTATTGGCCATTTGTAGATCCAGTTTTGCAAAGTGTCTATTCAAATATTTTGCCCATTTCAAAATTCTGTTGTAAATTTCTTATTGAGTTGTAAATTCTTTATATATTCTTGATAGAAGTTATGTAATATGTAACAGATACATTAAAATTTCTCCCAGTCTGTGGCTTCTCCTTTCATTTTCTTAACAGTGTCTATAAAAATAAAAGATAGATGTTACCCTCAAAGGTATGAACCTATTTCTAGACTGTCTACTGTATTCCACTGACGTATCTTTTTATCTATCTGTCAATAGAAGATCTTGATTGTTATTGTTTTACAGTAAGTCTTGAAATCAAATGATATAAATCCTCTCAGTTTTTCTTCTGTAAAGTTGTTTTAACTATTTTAGGTCTTTTGCAATTTTCATATAAATGTTTGAATCAGCTTGTCAATTTCTATAGAAATACCTACTTAGATTTTGATTGGAGCTGCATTGAATCTATAAATCAATTTGGAAAGAAATGACATCTTAACAATTTGAGCCTTCCAATTCATAAACATAGTATACATTTTTTATTCGGGCCTTTAAAATTATTTTCACCATTTTTTTGTAGTTTTCAGTATGCAAGTCTTGTATATTTTTTGCCAAATGGATCCTGTAATAGATTGCTTGTGACATTTAAATGATGTTTTTAAACTTCCAATTTTTAATATGTCATTATTAGTATACAGAAATATAAATTAATTTTATACATTGACTTTTATTATACTGTCCTTTATTAGTTTTAGTATTCTTTTTGTAGATTTCTTAGGACTTTCTACATATATAATCATATCATTGCTGAACAAGGACTGCTTTGTTTCTTTCTTTTCAGTAGGTATATCTTCTATTCCTTTTTCTTGCTTGATTATAATGGCTAAGAAGTCTAGTATAATACTGAATGAACATGGTTAAAAGGGTATCCTTGCCTTCTTCCTGATGTTAGAATGAAAGTAGAATGAAAGTCTACTTTTAAGGATGTTGTTAGTTGTAGGTTTTTCAATGATGCTCTTTATTAGATGAAAACACTTCCATTTTTTCCTAGATTCCTGAAAGTTTTTATTATAAATGGATGTTGGATTTTTGTTAAATGCATTTCCTGTATTTATTAGAATCAATAGTTTTTCCTTTGTTCTAAGCAATATTACATTGATCAATAATATTATAATAATGTTAAGCAAACCTTGCATTCCTGAGATGAAAATCATTTGGTTATGGTATATTCCCCTTATTATATATTGTTGGGTTTTATTTGCTAAACATTTATTCAGGGTTTTTGAGTACATATTCATGTGAAATATTGATATGTAGGCTTTTCCCCCCTAATAATATCTTTTTTAGTATGGAAGTCTTGTGTATTTTTTGCAAAATGAATCCTTTCTAATTTTGGTATCCAAGAAAGCCTGGCATTATGGAATGAGTTAAGTAAGAAATATTTCCACCTCTTAAATTTATTTGAAAGACTTTGTCTAGAACTGATGTTATTTTTTCCTTAAGTGTTTGATAGAATTTGTCTATGAAACCAACTGGGACTGAAATTTTCTTTGTAGGAAGCTTTTAAATTATAAATTTAATTTTTAATAGGAGATTATTTGAGTTTTTACTTTATCTTGACTAAGTTTTAGTAGTTTGATGTTTTTTCCAAAGAATTTTTAAAAATTTCATCTATTTTGTCAAATTTATGGGACCAATTGTTTGTAATATTTCCTTATTATCACTTTTTTTTTTGAGACAGTGTCTTGCTCTGTCACTCAGGCCGCAGTGCAGTGATGTGAAGCTCACGGCAGCCTCAACTTCCAGGCTCAAGTGATTCTCCCACCTCAGCCTCCCAAGTGGCTGGGACTACAGGCATGCTCCTCCACAACTGGGTAGTTTTTAAATTTTTTGTTGAGACTGGGTCTCACTGTGTTGCTCAGGTTCACCTCAAACTTCTTGGCTCAAATGTCCTCCCATCTTGGCCTCCCAAACTGCTGGGACTATAGACATGACCCACTGCTTCTGGCCTTTTATTACCTTTTTAATGAATGTAGTATCTCCAGCTAGAGGGTTATCAATTTTACTTTTTCAAATAAACAGCCTTTGTTTTTGATTGATTTTTATCTATAGTTTTTCTATTTTCAACTTTACTGACTTTAGCTCTTAACTTTAATATTTTCTTTCTTCTACCTTGGATTTAACTTATTATTGTTTTTCTTAGCTTAAAGTCAAAGCTTTGATCGTTGACTTTAGAGCTCCTTTTATGATAGTTCAAACCATTAAAATTCTGTAAATTTCTTCCTATACACTGTTTTAGCTTCATCTCACAAAATTTGCTTTGTTGCTCTTTCATTTTCATTGAGTTCAAAATATTTTCTAATTTCTATTGTTTTACCTAATTTCTAATTTTCTTTACCTATGGGTTATTTAGAAGTATATAGTTAGTTCCAAGCATTTGGATATTTTTAGATATTTTCCTGTTGTTGGTTTCTAATTATTGCCTTGTGGTCACATATGGAACAAAATTGTATTACTGTATAATTTCAATACATTCCATTTTATTGAGATTTATTTTATGTCCTAGTGTATGGGTCTTCCTTCATAAACATTCCATATGCACTGGAAAGAGTGTGTATTCTGTAGTTGTTGGATATAGTATTCTATAAATATTAGTTATTTCAGATTGATTTACAGTGTTTTTCAGCTCCATTACACCCTTACTGATTTTTTTGTTTGACTGTTCAATCTATACTTATGTTTTGCTTGAGATGAGATGTATTTCTCTGGCTGCTTAGAGCCACTTTCAATTGATTCAGCCTTTAACACTGATTTTACCATTTTAGATTCCTATACTCTTTTGTCTTGATGTGTGACTGGATTTCATCATTAAATAGTGTTTTCAAAATGTGC